GAGGAAAGGGAGCCACCTCTCCCTTGCCACCTCTTTTGAACCATTTCGGCGACCTCGCACTGTCCTTCATCCTCGGCTTTTTGGAAATACCGAGCTGAGTGACCGTGGTTTTCCTTTGACGGCACCTCCTTGGTTCCGCATTCGTGGCTACCTGCTGGCAAAAAGGCAAATCGTGACGAATGGACCCAGGTCAATGGGCCATTCCCTCACTAGCAATTCGCTTCTATTTGATGCACACTTTCACTGGTGGTAAGAGCACAGTAGCAATGCTGCAATTTTGGACTGTGCCATCCTTTCCATCTTTTTCATCCTTGCCTTTTTGGTGGTGCTACGGCACTCATAGGGTGATAAATGGCTAAGCAGTACTTGCCACAGCACATGCAACCGTTTGCTCGCTGGGCTCTTATGCCCCTGATTCGATTGCACCTTGCTCCGCTTCATGAAGAACAAGAAGTACTGAGCGTTTTGCGGAATTCATCGCCCCTGTTTCACCTTCTTCATGCCTTCTTGGCTCTCGGAGCTGCGCTACAGGTTGCACTCGTTCGGGGTCTTGTTGTGTTGTTTTTTGGTGGGTGTTGGGTTGCTTTGGTCCTTTCGTGTTTTGTGCAACCTGTCTAGTAACTCCTTCTTAACTCGACTAAGGTGACTTGTGCATGACCTGCACACACAGCGCCTCCACTCGTGCAAAAAAAACAGAAGCATGGCACTCACGCCGTCAGCTCCGAATTGTCAAACTGCCGTCAACAGTCGTTAGCATTTCTGACAACGCATTTCGAAGCTGTAAACTGCTCAACAGTGTCACTGCCCCTGGTTGCCGAGAGTTTAGCTACAAAGCCTTTGATGAGTGCTGTTCACTGCAGTGGGTCTATACCACTGAAGTGGTGCTAAGGCACCCGCCATGGTTCCTTGATGAAATGTCCAAAGGTCAGGGGGATTCCGTATAAAGCTCCTCATCAAAGGCGTCCGAATCTGGCGCTTCTGTGGGTAGCAGCTCCACCCGTGACGGTTTTTCAAAGTTGTCACACAGCAAAAGTTCTGCCTGAACGTGTCGTCAAGGGGAGTGAAACATCTCAATTGCTCGCACCCACAAAAGGCTCGAATGCCTATTTCCTGGAGCTCCGTCGGAATGACCACCTCCTGGAGCGCAATGCAGCTGAGGAAAGCTTCTTTACCGATTTGCGTCAAGCGTGGCGGCAGCCAAATGTGGGTCATGGCCTTTGAGAAGGGCTGTGATATCTGTGCACATGAGGTTGACTTCCACAAGTCGCTTGCAGTTTTCACAAGCCCGCGGGCCAATTTTGTGAAAGTCGCTTGGGAGGCAGAGGGTTTCAAGACCCGCCCCGCAAAATGCACGTTCAGGCAGCGCTCTTGCCTTGTTTGTTTGGTCCATGGCAAAAGTGATGGATGTGAGCGTGAGGCAGCTCTCGAAAGCATATCGGCCCAGCTGTGCTCCTGGTGCCAGGACATTGCTGTCATTTGCCGCTTGGCTGACACCGATTCTGCTGAGAGAGCAGCACTCCGCAAACACTCTTCGACTGAACTGAACACAGCCTGGGGCCACCACCTCCCGAAGGGCATAGCAGCCTTGAAAAGCTCATCTTCTGAGCTCAAGACTGAGGAGGGGAGCTTGACGATCTGCAGCTGCTGACACCCCTGCCAGGCCGCAAATCCTACGTGCTGGATTCCTTCAGCAATTTCCACATGCCGGAGCATAGGTGCTGCATAGAAAGCCCTGTCAGCAATTTCTCTACGTGGATTGACAGGGACTCGAACTGCTTTGCGGTAGTTCTCTTCATCACCTTCTTGGAATTGCCAGATAGAGTGGCCCTCCACCATGCAGGGCCGAACCACAATCTGCAGCTTCCTTTGTTGCATTAGTGCTGTGTGGAAGGCTGCTGGCAAGGGTAGCTGTGCAGCAAAATCGATAAGGTCAACCTCGCAGCGAAAAACATCAATGTCAGACACGGTTGGCAGGAAGCAAAGGATATCATCTTCCAGTTGCATCATGTCCTCATAATGAGTGATATTAGTTTGCACGTATGCTTGACTGCTTTGAGCCACAAAAATTGTGGCAGCAAGCGATGGTGGTTGCAAAAAGCGCTTATAGTAAAAGAAAAAGGATGGCTGAGGCCACCCCTTTCAGGGGAAATCACTCCATTCAGGCACCGTGCCTGTGTGTTTGGGCTGCTGCGACGGGTTCCTTACTGCCACCACCAATGTGGAGGAGGCGGTGGGGGAGGCTGGCTGCGGGTAAGCGGGCGGGCTGCCGATGAGGAGCTGCGACCACCTGGGGGAGGGATTGCGCGCCGGGCTTTATTGCGAGCCACAGAGTCATCTCGGCTGACTCCCTGTTGGTCTCTGAGCTCCTGCTTATGGCGTTCTAGCTTCTTCCGAAGCGTGGGGTCACTAGACAGCCATGCACAGAGCTTGTCCCACCGGTCCTCTGTTTATACTATCGGACCATATTGGTGGTACGGGCAATCGTCTTCCTGTACCTGGGGTAGCCTTGGGAGTAGTAGAGTCTGAGTGGGTCCTCCGGCAGCCTTGTCAGTCTTTTTCCACGAGTGCGGACGCCGTGTGGGCGGAGTGCCCAGGTCATCATTGAAAGGGAAGGAAACACGACATGATGAGGGGGAAAAGAACACAAGCGACCCAAAACAAGCAAAAACCCACCAAACCAAAACAAAAACCAGAAACCAAAAAACCACCACGGCCAGAGGCCGATTCCCCCTCATCTAAGCGCGTTTCCTCTGTACGAGGGTGAGACATGTGAAAACGACAAAAGCTGACTGTTAACTAAGGGCCTGAATTCACTACGAAAGTCGGTCGGCATGGTCAGCGCAAGAGCGGAGTGCAGCGGAGCCTATCAAAGGGGCCTCGCCCCACCCACCAAGCTGTGACCAAGAGGGCCACTGCATCGAGTGGCAAAAGCGATGTTCAGGTGCTTTGCAAGACCTGCATTGTTTATTGTCAGCCAGTCTGATCCTTGCCCAGGGGAGTCAGTTGCTGCTCTGCCTGGCAAGCCATGGAAAAGGCCCATCTCGTTGCACAACCCTTTCAATTGATTGCACGACAGAGACGAGAGGCATGTCGATTGTGAGGCAGTGGAGGCAGAGACAACGAAAGAGGTTTGCTGACGATGGTGATTCCATCCTCCCCGAAGGGAGGTCACCTTTGCACCTTTTAGCATTCAAGGAGTGCCATTGTGGTACTCTCTGTTTCAAAAAGAGAGAGCTGCACTGAGATGCAAAAAGTCTCCTGTTGCGTGCAAGGCCCGGGTGAAACCAGTGAAACGTGGACCTATCCTAGCATGGTACTTGTGCCTCTTTGTACAGCAATGGTCATGGCGTGGCCGCTGCAAGGAGAACTAAGGTTCCCCCTGGCAACCTTCCATTACCATTCTCTACCACCCGCCTCTTAGGAGCGAAAGCTAAGGCTCTCATTCCTACAGGCTCACTGTAACGTAGTTACTGGGGCCGAAATGATGGCTTAGCCTGAGCTTTCTTGAACCTGGCTCACAAAATTGAGATAGCAGAATAGCAGTCCCTTCCACTGTCATTCGAGCTTTGCCAGTTTAGCGTGTGGCTGCTTGGAAGTCGTCTCTCCATTGGTCATCGGCATTAGGCGGCAGGAATCGGAGCCATTGGGGCTTGTCTAATTGCTCGCATTTGTCAAAGGCATTGAGCCGGGCATATGTACCTCGCCATGTCTTGCTTTTCCTTTTTTTACGAACTGCTCGAAGCTGCGTACAGCCTGCAAAAGCACGCCGAGCAATGTAAAGCAGGGATGGTGGGATGCAGACTTCTTGCAGCGAGGTGCACTTGTGAAAGGCTTCTTGCTCAATGATGCGTAAGCAGTTGGTACCAGCACCAAAAGCCATTCATCAACAAAAGGGTTGGTGAATGGCTAACGTGGCACCCACCAACCAGCCAGCTCGTTCATGATGAGCTTAGGTTATATAATGATGTTCATAACAAATTCCGACTCCACGGCTGGGAATTTGGGCGGAGGCCGACAAAGGTCGACTGGTTTGTCACCTGTTGCTCCAACCTGCTAGCGATGGCCTCCAACTCCAACCCCTACTAGCGATGGCCTCCAACCTACTATGAACTTACTATATAGCAAGGCCTTTGTGAACTCCCTTTTATTTCCTGGGGCTGAAACAGCATGGATCTCCCTGGGCCAGGACTTTGCTCCCTCCGGCTCGCACCAGCTGCTCCTACAGGACTCGTTAAATACTGGATACTCAACAGAAATCAATCCCAAACACTCCATGTAGGGTGTTTGTCTCCAACATGAGGGTGGTTGACCTGGGGTCAACGTATGTAAATATGCCAGTCCCATGGAGTGTCTGGGAATTGTTGAACCCGATTTCATGTCAACATAGTTTACATCTTTGCGCATGTCAATATACTAGATTGCTTTCTATATATACCTGGAACCTGAAACGACCACCTTTTTTTGGTTGTTTCGTCAAACGACCAAAAATTTTTGAAACGACCAAGAAAAATGGTCTTTTCGTAAACGACCGTATTTTTGTCAATTATGATGATGTTCAACTATAGTTGAATATATAAGTTGAAACACAAAACGCAAGGTAAATCTGTATGTTCATATGCATGCACATTGTAAAACACAAGCTAATTCTGTATGTCAGTACATGCACACACAGTAAAACACAAGGGAATTCTGTAGTTCACATTATAATTTGATGCGTTTGATGTGCTTTAGCAAGCACATCTGTGCTTTAGCAAGCACATCAGTGCTTTTGTAGGCGTTTCATGTCCGTGCAACCTGCAGCATTTTGCTTAAATTAGGGGGTTAGTGTTTGGTGCACGCGTGGCTATGTGCCATTGTCGTGGCCTGAGACTGCATGGTGAATGTGAGCATGCACAAGTTTGTTGCATAGATTGCATTTGATGCTGTCTTGGCCAGCCTTGTCTTGACAGCCATTTGGGCTGAACAAGTGGTGCTCCTTTACGTCCTTTACGTTTTGCTTCATGGCAGAGGGCCACAAGATTGAAGATCTCTTGGCACAGATACCGCCACATGAGTTTGCAGCTCATGAGAAGTGCCTGAAGAACATCTACCTTGTGCTGGAGAAAGACAGCGGCTTTCGCTGTCGTGCTCGAAACGCAGAGGGGCTGGTCAGGGTATGTGACAGCACTGGCAAAAGGAATCGCCAGAAGGTATATGAAGATACAAGTTTCAATTCAGATGTGCTGACTGTCTTTGTTGATACTATGGCTGCCCATGGAGTCACGAAAACACCATCAGTTGACGCTTTGAGTTGCTTGGTTTACTCATGCGCATGCTTACATGCAATCTTCTTTTTTCTTGCCCCTGTGACAGATGTCAGGTTATGAGCTATGGCGATTCTACATTGTGGCTGGCTACCCCAGTTCAAAACTAGCAGAACACCAAGCCCATTTGGACGCGCACCAGATGAAGCCAATGTTCTCCTTTATGAGACGGAAATGGAAACGGTGTGAAAAGCCGCGAGAGACTTGCTTGCATCTCAGGATTGTGTTACGCGTGCTTTAGTGGCAAGATTGGTTGACAATCTTAGGACAAACGAGTTCGAGCGCTCCTGGAACTCTACCAAAAAGCCTTTGAGAAGCTGAAGTCAACCATTGGAGAGAGTGCGGCAGCAAAAGTCATCAACCTGGAAGACGACAGTGATGAGGAGGTGAAGGATGATGAGCCTGAAGTTGAGTGGACGGAGACTGAATTGGAGACTACGCCGCCTGTGTCTTCATTGTCTGCTCAGGCTTCATCGTCTGCTGTCACGCCAAAGGTCTCTGAGGTCCAGCAAATGGATAAGATGTCTCTGCCAGAGCTGAAGCAAATGCTTGCCCATGCCGAGCGGAGGATGTCTGCTAAGAAATTGCGCCTAAGCGGCATTGGTTCACATAAGTTTTGGGCTTTGGCAAGCCAGCCTAAGGGCTTTGGGAAGCCTGTGTGGACTTGTCTTGGGCTTTCACAAGCCCAAGGCAATTTGTTTTGTTTTGTTGTTTGATGTTTTGTCTTTCTGGCTCAGGATGCAAGAAGAAAGGGAACGCGTCAAATTGCTATGGCCCGAGAAGGATTCTTGTGAGTTGATTGACTTGGACAGCCCTCCGCCACCAAAGGTGAGAAAGGCGAAGAGCATAGATGAAGTTGTAACACTCCCAATGGTGGTCAACACGCAGGCCTTTGAACATGCTCTTGAAGAGGCTTTGCCAACACCTTGTCCAAAAGCAGGGGATGCACCAGATGTCTCGGCTGAGAAGACGACTCTGGTTGTGACTCGCAGCCACCAGCTACACCTTAAGGCTGGCAAGACTGCAAGTCAAGCCAAAGAAGCTGTTGAGAGGGTCACTCAAAAGCGTGCGACAACTGATGAGGTCGAAGAGGAAACGAAAGATGAAGAAGAGGGACAGGAGGAAGAGAAGCCGGTCAAGGCTCGTCGCAGGCTCAGGAGAGCAGAGGTGACTGAAGAGGATGAAGAGATGCTGGTGAAGGCTCGTGCCAAGAGAGCAGAGGATGAGGAGAATGAAGTTGAAGATGAAGAGAAACCGGTGAAGGCTCGTGCCAAGAGAGCACAGGGGAATGAAGATGAAGAGAAACCGGTGAAGGCTCGCGCCAAGAGAGCACAAGAGGAGAATGAAGTTGAAGATGAAGAGAAACCGGTGAAGGCTCGTGCCAGGAGAGCACAGAGGAATGAAGATGAGGAGAAACCGGTGAAGGCTCGCGCCAAGAGAGCACAGAGGAATGAAGTTGAAGATGAGGAGAAACCGGTGAAGGCTCGTGCCAAGAGAGCACTGGGGAATGAAGTTGAAGATGAAGAGAAACCGGTGAAGGCTCGTGCCAAGAGAGCACAGGGGAATGAAGTTGAAGATGAAGAGAAACCGGTGAAGGCTCGTGCCAAGAGAGCACAAGAGGAGGAATGTGAGGAGGATGTCAAGGACAAGCGAAAGGGCCGAGGCCGTCCTAGTGCCAAGACAAAGCCTAAGTCAAAGGCAAAGTCAAAGGCAAGGGGCAAGCCTGATGAGTCGAGAAAAGATGTGGAGGAGACAAAGAAACGTGTTGCGGTGCCTGGCTTCCCCTTGACGTTTGCGCGTCGCTACCGACCAGAAAGTGAGTCATCTGCTGCTCACTGGGAGGCGAAGGTGAAGTCGTTTTTGCTCTATGTGCTGCCAAAAATAGAGAAGAAACAGAAAACACAGTTTGAGGCCTGGTTGATTTTGACCTACAGCCTGCATGTGCACCAATTGTGTTTGTTTCATGGTCTGCACTGCAGGTGAAGTTCTGGAAGTTTGCCACCGATGACTGGTCCATGAATGGTGAAGATGACAGTTTGAAGGGTCTCTCGGACTTCTACAAGACGAGTGCTGAGAACTTCTGTTCGTGAAGGACACCTTGAATGTTTTTGCTGTATAGGTGGTGTGTTGCTTGCTATAGTGAGAGGATCTGAAGCTGCCTGATGAGCCCTGATGAGTGTGAGCGATGGCAGCAGTTGCTGCAGACATCATTTGCTTAGGGTGGCTTCCCAATGTGGAAGTATGGGGTGCAAGTGTTAGGTCTGTGGCTGGCTCATGGACAATCATAGTGGGACCGATGAACTAGCAGCTGTGAGGGATCAAATGTGCATGCTGTGTACCAGTGTGGTGTGCATGCTCCATGGGATTGTTTGCCAAGCTTTTTTTGTTGATCCTTCATGGGATTGCTTCATGATTGTGTGCCACACGTGGCAATCATTGAGGTCCACATGGTGAAGAAAAGGCTTGCTGGCTATCGCTCCATGGCCCGCAATGGCCAGTTGAGGCAAGTGATCTCTCAGGGTGTTGCTGACACGTGTTGCTGATGTTAATGAAGTTTGCAATACGAGACCTTTGAGACTTTGGTTGAACAAGCAAGCTTTTGATGCTGCTGCATGCAGTGTGAGGCTCACCAGCTATATAGGGACTAAAAGACATGTGCATGAGTGCATGCGTGTGTGAACTGCATAAGCAATCAAGCAATGCGCGCATGGGATGTGAATGGTTTGGTGATGAGCTTGTTCAAACTCAAACGTCCTAAGGAACCTTGGCAGCAATTCATTATTTGCGTTGGTGCCTGGGCCTTTGTAGGCCTTGGGCGCTTGGGCTTTTGCCAGCCTGCCTTTGGGCCTTTGGGGGCCTAAAGGATTAAGTCTTAATGTTTGGGCCTTTGCAGGCCCAGTGTTTGGGCCGTTGCTGGCCTTGGAGTGCTGGAAGTTGCTTACCTGCCTTTTGTGCTAGGTTTTCGCGCTGATCGTACTACTGGTGGTATGGAATGAAGATCTGGGTGTTCAGAGCCAGACTGGGAAGGCCGATATTCGTGCTGTTGAGTGAGTGTGCATGACATCTCCTTGATGCCAGCTTGCATGTGAATGGTCCTGCAATTTGGCCTTTCAGCAGTCTCTTGGCTCAAGATGCCAAGGGGCAAGGCTTCCACAGGAATGCGGAAGGCGACCAGGGCACTTGCGCAGGCCTTGCAGGCCAACAATGAGTTGATTCGCAATCTACAGGGCCTGGAGAGCTTGCAGACGATTTCCAATCGCCAGACTGCCCGTGCAGATGGCCAACTTCATGAGACTTGGCTATAATTTGATATGCTGATTTGTATGTGTTGATTTGCATGTGCTTGCTTGTTGCTGCATTGGTGGTTGCTGATTTGTGGACTCAGGAAGGGGAAATGCACCGAGACCTCCTTCTCAACATGATGCGGAACATGGTATCTTGGCTATTAGTGCATGCGCTTGATAGATGCGGCTGATTATGATGAGCTTGCGGCAGCAGAAGCTGGCTCACCTGCCTCTTCAATGCCAGCCTGCCCAGCATCCACTGTGCCACCAAGGGCACCACCTCCAAAGCCTCCAGAGCCTCCACCGATGGAGCCTCAAATGACAGCCCCAATGCATGGAGGTCCAACAGTGCTGCCTCCACAAATGACAGGGCCTCAGATGACAGCCCCGATGCCGCCGATGGGACCTCAGATGACAGCTCCAATGCCGTCGCCTCCACCAATGATGATGCCCCAGATGACATCCCCAATGCCTGCAGCTCCAATGGTGCCTCCCCCAATGACGACGCCTGGGATGTTTCCACCAATGCCTCCACCACCTATGATGCCTGCAGGGAATGTGAGGCCTCCATCAGTGATAGGCCCATATGTGCTTGACCCGGCCCTCCCTGCGCAGATGGCATCTGGGCTTAATTTGTTTGCGCTTGTCTAAATGATGCATGTGTGCGTTTCATGTGTGGCTGTTTCATGTCTGCGTGTTTGGTCAGTGACTTGAGGTGCAACAAATGAATCAGCAGCAAGATGATCAGGTGACTTGGTTGGCTTGCGTGTTCAAACAAGTCATGCCATTTGAAGTGATTGAGGCGCAGTACATGGAACCAACACCGCCAATGGGGATGGCAGCAGCAGTTTTTGAGGAGTGGAAGTGGAGTGAGTGTGAGGCGAATAAGTGTAAAATGATGGGCAAACAAAAACAATTGCCTTGATGAAAGCACCTCCCCTAAGTGCATAGCTAGCTCTTCGCTCTCTGGTTTGGTTCGTCTAATTTGCAAGGAGGCAGCCGGTTCAGGTGTACTCTGCATCTGCCGGTTTGCACTTTCGATTGCCTTAGTGCCTTTTTCGTCTTTGCATTGACAAACAGCCAGGGACCGGACAACCCAAGGACACACAAAAACAACAGGGAGGGAACAACTCCAGAACCCGAAAATGCGACTCGATGTCCTGGCACCTTGAGACAGGGGACTGGGAGGGGGGAGGGAAATGGGGTTTTTGGGGGTGCTTGAGAGGGGAAGGGGGGAGGCTTAAGGGGCACAAGGGGGGCTTCGCTGAAGGCCGAAGGTCTTGGGGCTTAAGGGGGCAACAGGAAGGCTTAAGGTCTTCGGACGAAGGGGGGGCTCAAGGGTGAGCTTAAGGGGTGGCTTAGGGGTGGCTTAAGGGGCTTAAGGGGGGCCTTCACGGCAGGTTTCAGGGGGACTTAAAGGGGGCTTCGCTGAAGGTCGAAGGTCTTGCGGCCTAGGGGGAATTGAGCGCGGGATAAGGGGGGCTTCAGGGCTATTCGGTTGCAGGGCGGTGTGAAGGGGGGGCCGAAGTGGATCACCTCGACACCTCGATGGTTATTTGGTGTTGAGCACTCTAAGCTTGGGGCAGTTTTTGAATCCATGAAGAGGCATGCGATGCCGCTTGTCGCCACTTATTTTGCTCGAGGTGATTGAGACGATTGCGTTACGTAGTTGCTGGTTTTTGAACGTAATTGTGAAATCTCAGAGCGGATTTTCGGGGGGCTTTGTGAGAAGAAGCGATTCAGACGGATAGAAGAAATGGAAAACAAAAAACATTTTTTCATTTGTTTTCGCTTCCCGGGGGGGCGTACGGAGGGGGGGCTCAAGAAGGGGGGGTAGAAAGGAGGGCTGAAGGTTTTCGGCCCCGGCGTTCGAATATTTGTTGGTTTCGGCGTGAGGCTGTTTGCTCACCAAAAAAGATTGAGCGCCCGTTAGGTTCAGAAATCTTTCAGCCTAAAGTCTACTCGTTGGAACCTTCGTTGTATTTCGGGAGGAGCCTTTAAAAAGAAAACATTTCGTGGCAGGTGCAGGGAATGGTGTGAGAAGTGCAGATTTCGTGGCGCGGGGGGGGTTGGGGGGGCCCCCCCCATGCAGCAAGAATAAAGAGTTTGCTACATGGGAACCTTCGTTGTCTTCGGCAGGAGCCCTATCGAAATAAAAAGAAATGATTTCGTTGCAGGCGCTAAACGATTTCGTGGCAGGCGCAGGGCTTGGCGCCAGAAGTCACGAAGGGTAGAGGTTACGCTACCTGAGTTTTCCTTTTGCTTTAGTTATAGCCAGAGTGGAGGCTGGGGCCCCCCCCCTTTCAACTCCACCCTGGCGCGGCTCCTTGTCAACGGCTAGAAAACGCCATAAGTACCAGTGTTTTCAGCTCCCCCAGTCTGCAAGAGTGGCCTCAAACCATGCAATTTAGATGGTTTTCTGTGGCTGTCCGGCTTCAAAAATGGTCGAAAAATGACCAAAAACCTGGAAAGATTTTGTCGGAAAGAATCTTTTCGGCTTTTGGAGGCTTCAAAATGGCTCAAAACAATGGTATTTACACGGGTTTGTGCACCTTCCCGGCACAAAACCCGGTAAATTGCGATGGTTTTGGGCTATGTCACCATCCTAGAAGCGATGGACTCCATCCTACAAACCATAAAAACTAGTGTTTTCAGCTCCTCCAGTCTTCAAGAGTGGCCTCAAACCACGCTATTTACAGTTTCTTTTTTGTGGCGGTTCGGCAGAGAAACGCGATCGTGTGATATGTTTGCTTCTAGTGTGTGGCGGACCGTGTGGCGAAATTACGTGCGTAATGTCGCAGTGCCATTGGGATGTGCGCGGCCTTGGTGGAAAGTGTGTTTGCGTGGCGCCGTGCCACTGGGAGCGCAAAACATGCTGGCGTAAACGCGGCGTGTCGCTGGTGAGCGGGATCATTGGCGTTTTCATGTGATATGTTTGCTTCTAGTGTGTGGACAGACCGTGTGGCCAAAGTACGTTCGTGATGTCGCAGTGCCATTGGGATTTGCGCGGCCTTGGTTGGAAGTGCGTTTGCGTGGCGCCGTGCCACGGGGGAGCGCGAAACATGCTGGCGTAAACGCGGCGTGTCGCTGGTGAGCGGGATAATTGGCGGTATCATGTGAGATGTTTGCTTCTAGTGTGTGGGATTTGCGCGGCCTTCGTGGGAAGTGCGTTTACGTGGCGCCGTGCCACTGGGGAGCGCAAAACACGCTGGCGTAAACGCGGCGTGTCGCCGGTGAGCGGGATCATTGGCGGTTTCATGTGATATGTTTGCTTCTAGTGTGTGGACAGACCGTGTGGCCAAAGTACGTTCGTGATGTCGCAGTGCCATTGGGATTTGGTTGTGTCAGAGCGCATCGGTTGGAACCCAGGTGAGAACCTTAGTTCTTGTCCTGGGCGTGGGTCCGCACCCTGCCAACCTTGTACAAAGTGACCAGACGGCACCACGCTAGTTTCACCTTGTTTCACCAGGGCCCTGCATGATGGCGGCGAGTCCGCTGTAGAGTCGAATCGCTATCCGGACAGGATTGCGCAAAGCGCATTTGCCGTTGCTCCTATAGGCTTAGCTGTTAAGGAGCCTGCTTTTGATGTGCTGCACCTGCTCCCTCTTTTAGAGGGAGTTTTGAAGTGCACAGAGTGTGCGGACTTTCAAGCAATGACTTCCTTAGGTTAAAAGCCCACCGCAGGCCACAGCATCTCCTGCGTTCGCTATGGTTTGGAGCAATAGAGACCAGATTTTTGCTGTTTTCCACGGCCAGATCATCATTGCCTTTTGACAACAGAGCTCTCGACTTGCGGAATTCCCTTG